TTTGCTAGCTTCTCTATCTGGTTCGGGTTCTGGACCGAGAAGGGACGACGATGGACAATGAAGTATTTGCTGTTTATGATATGTATAAATTGAGTATTGTTGTTGTTGTTTGTTCGTATTGTTAATTGTTAGGGATTAGGTAGTGTAGCGAGTGAGAAATGAAGCTAGGTTTTGTTGCAATTTGTTGAATTATTGCTAGGATTAGAGTGTTTGCTTGTTCGTTCGATTGATCGTTGCATTTGTTAGGGTTTCAGTTCATTTAAGTTATGAGTGATGTAGCCATGAAAAGAGAAAGATAAAACGAGACGCAAGAATCTAAGGGAGTTTCTTGTGATCGATGAATTTGGTTGGAATTACCACTACAAGCACAGAACTGCTCAATAAGTGCTTGACCATTTCGATAATGGTGAGTGGATAAGACAGTTATTTAAGTGTGGTCTACGAAAACCTGTAGTTCCGCATCAATGTTTTTTGTAACGAAACCATGGAGGTTTCTGATGAATGAATTGAATTCTGTAATTTGTTGAAACTTTCAGTGACTCAAATGAGTGTTATGGAATTTGTTCCTTAGATACATTGTGTTTGTTGATTGAATGATTTTTCTGTGTTCTCGTGTATGAAAAGGTTCACTCGTAGTGTAAAGTGAAATCATTGGGAGTGTATTAGTTGAAAGTAATAGAATGTTATGGACGTTGTGACCATGACATTGTCAAGAGCCTTGGGCTTGCTTCTGTTCGAACATATAAACTTGTAGTTAGCGTCATATTTTTGAAGCCGAGAAGCTTGAGTTTCAACTTGAGAACTATTCGATGATGCAGAAGTCTATGTTATTTTCTTCATGCTATACATTGCTCAGTAGTACTCAGAAGACTAGACTTCTGAAGCTAATTGTTGAATTGATGCAATATTTCACATGTTTAGTATCATCACTTGCTTTTTTCGAGTTGGAGCAGGACAAGAGTCCGCAATGCAGTATGTAGTACTTTTTTCTCTTAAAGCTGTTGGATAATTCCGCACTGCAGCATCAGAGCTTCAGGATGCAATCCAGTTTTTTGCGTATATTGTCGATAACATGTACATTATGTCTGTTTACTGATTGTAAAAGATTCCTTGGCTTGAAGATGGGCTGATGTTTAGAGGACTCGCATGGATTTGCAGGTTTTACCTATTCCTTACTAAAGGTTACAAATTTGATGTTTTGGTTGATTGAATTCTTATGCTTCCGAAGAAAAATTGCTTAGGTTCTGAAATGAATTGGTGAAAGAAGATCAAATTGAACTCTCTAGCCTGGCATCATCTGGACTTGTGGAGAACCCTTTTCAACTACCACGAAGATTTCAGCAGGTAATATCCTTTTTAAGGGGGTAAACTAACCTTACATATTTTTATATAGTTAAGCAGATGTTTGTGATTGTTAAATTCTCCGAGCTTTGATAATTCCTTTTTTGGAAGTTTAGAATTTAAGAGGATACCGAACATCTGTGTGGTAATCAGACTTCGAAAATGAAGAGAAAAAGAATGAATTGCTAACACCTAGTTTGTTTAAAAAGATTTTCTATGTGCAGGCAGGAAATATTTACTTTGGTCTTCGTCATGATGCTGTTTTCTTAGATTGGTTACCTTGTATAAGATGCTGCAGAGTGTTTTCTTTTTCTTTCCTTTAAAGGTTCTCTTGTCGACACTATTTGCAGAAAATCCAAGAGATCTTTAGGTTGTAAATTTCTTGTTTGATACTATTTTCAGAAGAAGGCTTCTAGACATACAGTCCAACTATGTTGCTCGGACTCTTCAAAGATGTCACTGAGTGCGTGTTGGATCCTCCAAAAGTAGTGCAGTTTTGGACTCCACATGCGATAGCTTTCTTCACCCCTAGATTCTTTGCCATGTGGAAAGGTAATCGTTCAGTGTTGATATCGGAAATATGTTGGTTGATAATACTGAATATGGATTCCTTTTGGCTATGTCTTCTAAGCTGCGATATCTTTTGCATCATTCTTTATGGTGCAATCGTTATACAGTCGTGGTGAAGCTACTAATTTTGTCAAGCTTGTTCCTAATATATATGTATAAAGAGTAATTTTTGACCTACATATACAATATAATTTTCTGACGGAGGATGTTTAACTGACCACCCTTCGGTCAGTATGGCTCCGCCACTATATATTGTTGAAGCTCCTTTGTGCAATTGCATTTAGTTTCACAATTTTAAGGGCTTGTCATATGGTAATCTTCTCTAAGCCTCGGTGGGCAAAGTTATTTGGTATTTGTGTTTATTGGTAGGCACATACTTGGTGGAATAGCTGAGGTGCTCGCCTTTTATATCTAAGCTACGCATGAAAGACCCATATAGCCAATCCCACGGAACGGTAAAGCTTTAGAGTTTAGAGGGTCTTTTTGTCCGGGTGCAGGTAGCTTGCGTCTTCATAGACACGTCTATGTCACCGAGCCTATCTCCGTCACATCGTTACGCCTTTGATGTCAATGGGTTGTGTTTGGGCTAATCAAATTTTACAAGTAAATATGGGCTCTGCCCAAAACAGCCCATTTGGATTAGTTGGATGGTGAATGTATGGATCCATTTGCCACTCCCCTTAGCATTATTTAAAGTAAAAAACTTAGCTAGCGTTTGGCCATAGATTTCCAAATATTCTTGGCAAATATTATTTGAGTGAAAATTTGGGTGAAATTTCACCATGTGTTTGGCCATAAAATTTGGGAAATATATTTCACCTTTTTAGAAAAATATGATTTATACACACAAGTTTTAAAAAATATCAAAATTAACTAAAAGTTTGTATTACAAGTCAATGAATGTTCGTTACAACAATAACAAATAATGTCTATGACACTAAAACAATGTGGTAATTTGGAGCGAGTGCAACAAGAATTATTCCATACATCGTGAAGTAGACAAAGTACATGACTTTGTTACCTAAAGCCAATTTTTAATAATTTTCATCAACAATCATATCATTATTTAATATTCACTACATATTTCATCACTATTTTGGTGTTCACGTAAAAAATAATGTAATACAACGTAAACAACTACTAGAGAGAGTGTTTTTGTAAAAGATAAAAGATTGAGGTAAAATTTTAATTTTGAAAATATCCCAAATAATGAAATTTGGCCCAAATACTAGAAAAAACTAGTATTTGGAAATTTGGGATATTTGCCAAAAATATTTGCCAAATAATGGCAAATTGTATGGACAAACATTATTTGCCAAATTTTTCCCAAATATTATTTGGAAAATTTATGGCCAAACGGGCCTTAATAGGAAACTTACGTGAATATACTATAATAAAAAAATATTTACCATTTATAGCAATAGTATTTTTTTTTTCACTTGACCGCTTTTAATTTATTTGTAATATGAGTTTAATACATAGTACAAAGACAAATTTATTATTCAAATACAGTACAAGTTTTAATATGGATAATACATTTATCACACATTTTAATACACTTATAATGCAATGTGACAATTTTTTATCAAACAAACATAATATATTTAAAAAACAATTATAATTAAAATATATTGCATACATAATTCACGTTTGATACATATTATAGATTTATCACAATATTGCTATAAATGATAACAAACAAAAAGTATCGCTAAAATCAGCAATTATTTTTTAAAATGTATTAATTTATGTAATTTTTTCAAACTTATATTAAGACCCGTTTAAAGATGCAATGTTTTATGAAATTAGATCGATATGAAGTTTGAAGTTTTGTTTGGATTTGATTTTTTTTTTAAATTGTATTTTTTCCTCTCTTAAATCTTGATCATGAAAACCATGAAGGTTTTCTCTAATTCTTACATAATTTTAGCAAACGAGCAATTGTAGTTCATAAATAAGATATCAGAATATTTCAAAGCACTGCATTAATAAAATCGCGTACGGAACTTGTCTTTTCTATTAATTTTTTTTTTTCAAAATTTTTATTTTAGTCAACCAAAAATTTAACAAATATTCCTCCGTACCAAACACACCCTCACGAAATAGAAAGAAACAAACAATAATTACACAAAGATCAATGGAGAAGTAGATAAGATTAGTTTAGAAAGTTAACACAATTCAACGTTAACTTAATTAAAAATTATTGTTAATACTTAAACATTAGATTAGAGATTATAAAACTATAAGTATATACCATAAGTCTTCCCTAATATTGGTTTTTTTTATTGTATTATCGACATCGCAACACGGTTAGACTTAATTAATTATATAGTGTTCTTTGACTTTATTTACGAAGGTGAATAACTTTAATTTGTTGATAGTGTATAAATATAATATTTGAATATTATTTTGATGAATATAATATCAAAATAAATGAAATTGCTTTTCCTTATTATACCAAGTACATGAACAATCTACAGAAAAGCTAATGTTGGTTTAGTTAAGCAATTAAGCAATATTAGAGTTATCATAATAAGAACAAAGTGATTCATTTAATAGAAAGTGTTACTATTTTATGTGAAGTACCGTAGGTAAAGACAAAAATAAATTTTAATGGACTTGGATTTGAGATTGTTATACTTGGGCTAAAGTGTTGGACTTGAAAAAATGATAAAGTTAACGACTTAAGTTGATTAAAATTTAACAAAATATTTTAAATTTATTTATGAATAATATATAAATAATTATAAAATCTATATATCTAATTTATCGGTTCAATTTAGTTATTTTTGCGGTTGTTTTTTAGTAAAACCAAACCAAACTAAACTAAACCAAAGATCGATTTTTTAAAATCGATTGGTTCGAAATGCGATTTAATTTGATTGTTAACCATAACCATGAATAGCCCTACCAATAACTAATAAAAAATATCTTTTTGATTTGATATTCATTTAACGTATTTTAAAAATAAATACACTCGAATTATTCTTATATACTCCGTCAAACAACTTAGTATTGGGTATAAAGCTTAACACGCGATAAACACGTTTAAGAATAACCCATAAATACACGGAATTTGAAATTTTCAAAATATAATCCCAAAAAAAAAGGCCATGATAAATTAAATTGTTAATTCAATCAAATATTTTGTTTTTTTATTTTTGGTACTCGAAAATGTCATTAAATCCTAAATTATTTGTTCATGGAATGCCAGTTCCATTTATCGATGAATTGTTTGTCTTAGCTAGCGATGGAATTGAATTTCAGATCGATAACATTCCTAGGTACCTATTTATTCTTCTTTATTTGCATTATTTTTTTTCCATTTTGTAATTTCAGATCTTGGGAAATTTTTTTTATTAACTTTGTAAGTAGTGTAATTTACGAGATTATGATGAATAATACCCTTCGGGGTGGTCAAGTGGTTTGGATTTGGGATTTTCATGTTGGAGGTTTCAAGCTGGGTTTGCCTTCTGGGTCGAGCTCATTGCACTGGACTTGCTTAGTGTGGGTTACCTCTCGGTTTGCGAGCTATTGCATAACACCGGTGTTTTACTCTGTGTGCACCAAAGGGTCTAGAGGGAGAGGGGGCGGAGCTACCATACTATTAGGGGTTCATGCAAACCTCCTTTTTTGAGAAAATATTATTATTTATATATGGTTTTAAATTATATTTTATCTATAATAGTAGATGTCGAACAACCTTTGGTTAGTTTGGGTGTTTAGTTCTTCAAATTTTGAACCTATTATTAAAAATTCTAGCTCCGACGCTGAGTGTGAGTTAGGCATAAGAGTTAATTTTACATGGTATTATGGCATAGTGATTAATGAGTTGAGCTGAGAAACATGACGTGTTAGCATCAAATCTTAGCAAAGACCTCTTATTATGAGTTTGGATGGGTGCTGGTGGGAGGTAACAAGTAGCACGTGGAATTAGTTGAGTTGGCATGGACATGAAGCATGTATTTGTATTGTTGAGCTTGCTTAATGCATTGAGTTTATTGAGTGTGGATGGAGTGGCTGGGTCACTGTATTGAACTTTGGGAAGTTCATCGTTATTTGTGCATCGCCTTCTCGGGCTATGGTCTCTTCTTTCTTCTTTTTTTTCCTTATATTTTGGGATTTTAAACCAAGTTAATGATATCTGCATTGACATAAATTATGAATATTTTGCTGTTGCAGTTTAGGTGAAGTACAAGCAAAAGGAACCATTTACTTATCGAATATCCGGATGGTCTTTGTTGCAAAGAATCCTACGAACAACTTCAATGCTTTTGACATTCCCTTGGTATGTAATGCTCGTCCTTCTTGCTTCCGATTGCCTGATTCTGTAGGAAATATACGCTTTATGAATCATGTGGAAGAAATGGTTTCTGCTCCAAATCCATGTCGTTGTTTGTTGGATTCATTTCTTGTTTATATTTATTTGAATTTATCCGATAAAATTGCAGCACGCGAGGCTGATGTCTTTAGGTTCCAGGATAACAATATGCCCTCTTTTGTTTATAGTCTTATGGGACTTATATTTTCAAGTTGTTGTACAGAATCTTAAAAAAAGGTTCCAGAGATACTAAAACATTTGAGTTTTCTCGACTGTGAACATGCTTCGATCTGATATTCTGTTGTCCGGTTAGTTCTAGCTAGCGTGGTCTTGTTTATCCTTCCTTACTAGTAGTCGTAGTATTTCTGCTGTAGTTTCTTGCCCTTCGATTTTTGTTACTATCTGTTACTTTCTGTCCTTTTTATGTATGTTTTGTCTTGCTTTCTGTAGTATTGTGCCATGGTTTCTTCAATTCCGTTTATTTCATTTCCTAACATGTTTTGATATGCTTTTTCTTGAGTCAAGGGTCTATCGGAAACAATCACTCTACCTCCCAGGTTAGGGGTAAGGTCTGCCGTCTGCATACACTCTACCCTCCCCAAACCCCACTTATGAGACTATACACTTGGTATGTTATTGTTGGTTACTTCTAGCTAAGCAATATCGCCTACGTTGAATTCCTGCATTTGTTGTCTATTTTATTGTGTGTTGGGGTAACTAAATTAGACTTGAACAGTGTGGTTGAAGGCCGCTAAGCCCTGAAGCTAGCTGCAGTATAGGGCACAAGGCGATAAGTTCTGCATCTCATCGGCCATATGCTCTGTCTCGAAGAGAGCAACACTGAACAATTGTTGTTTGGTTTTTGCTACGTATATAGTATCTTTTATCATTCCCTTCAATCATGCTTTTTGTCACTAAAACTCACGCTTTATTTCGTTTTTGTGCTTAAACCACTAGTAAAGCTTCCGCCTTTTCTTTTCTATGTTTGGTATCGTTGCACTTCGATGACTACCTTGATGTGATGTGAGATAGCTCAAACATTTCGTTCAATTCATTCTTTGTTTCAATTTGTTTGTCTGGTTTTGACTTGACACGGAGTTTAAGAAAGTAAAAAACACATTTGGAATGCGTATAAAGGAAAGTAAGACAAACAAATTGAAATGGAGAGAGTAGTTTGCTACCAAATCATGAGTTTTTGTGTTGAGTGGGATAAGAAACAACATTTACAAACCGATAAAATTGCTCCGGCTGACCTAAATCTACTTCATTCTGCAGCTTTTTGTTCATGGCGAAAAATTAAATCAACCAATATTCTTCTGCAAAAACATTTCTGGATACGTAAACCCGGTAAGTATCTGTATAATAGATAGATTGATTTATTTATTCATGAACTATATATCAAACCTTGCTTCAGATGACTTATTTTAGCCTATTGCAGGTTATACCAGCTAATGATAACGAAAACAGCATAATACCTCATTCGTTTAAAATTATGTTCAAGGAATGTGATTGTGAGGCTTTCATTCCATTAGTTTTCGAGTTAATTGGAAAAGTGAGACAGCGTTACAGACGGTCAAGGGCAAAGCATCGTGTAGATCGTCTTCATGAAGCAACCAAAACACCAGTCGATGAGATGACAAGATATGCGTATGTCATGTTTCTTGCCTTTTTCACAATGAAATTACTCCCTCTGTCCCAATTTATCCCAATTTATGTGTCGCTGTCTCCTTTCTAATTTGCCCCAAAAAGAACGAGACATTTCTATATTTAGAAATAAACTTTCCGTTTACCCTTAACGAGATGATTTATAGCCCATATAACATTCTAAGACAGGTTTTAGACCATAAGTTTCAAAAGTCTTTCTTTCTTATTTTGCAGTTATGTCGATCCCAATGATTCGACAAGTATCTTCTTGCAGCTGCAGCCTACTCCAGAGTCTCGACTCGTGAGTCGTATGAATTAGTCACAGCCTACTGCTGAAACATCCATATAGCTCTTGCTTCAGGTTAGCCTAATAATGCATCTTGTGCGCGCGATGCATCTTTTGTGTGATTGATGCCTTCAGATCTCTCCATTTATGAGTTTGTTTGTAGACGATGCACTACTAGATCTAGGGGGTTCGTCTAAACCTCCTTCCCTAGAAAATTACATTGTACATACGAGGTCAATTTTTGTTTTATGCATATACAATACGTGTTAAATTTAGCTTCTTCGTGTGAAAATCTTGGGTCCTCCGCGGATATAAGAATTTAGGTAATTCTCACCTCATGAGCTAGCTTTTGTGATTGAGTCAGCCATAGTCTATTTCCTTATCACGGTATCAACACTTTGACATAGAGTTATATCCAAGGTGAGGGGCAGAGCCAGCCGTAAATTATTTTTTATCTATATACAGTAGATGTTAAACCCCCTTCGATTAGTTCGTAAGTTTAGTTCTTCAAACTTTGAATCCCCTTATTAAAAATCCTAGCTTCGTCGATATCCAAGGTCCATTTCTACTAAAAAGCACATAGTTTCAAATCTTAGGAATACAAGTTACAACACTCTTAGAAAAAGTACAAGTTACTTTACCCTTACTCGAGGTTCACATCGAATCAATAAATGCATGACACATTTCCAAAGCTTACATATATGATTTTATTCATTCAAATACGAAGAGGGTGGTGTTTCTTCCACTTTATTTTCCTTTCATGCGATCATCGATACGTCTTGTTCTAAACTTTTCTTTTTCTATCATATGCAGCACATTTCTGAGCTACAACCTCTGCAATAACATTGATAAGTACCACAATTATAGCAAGAACAACTAGTTTGTAGCCTTGCACGCATTCCTGCTCCGCTCAACAAATTCGTTAGTTTCTCTATTTCATGCTCGTTTCTTGCTGGAAATACTTGTACATATCCATTACCCTTGCCATTGCCAGCGCCAACGCCACTGTTGCCATTTTGTTTGCCAGTCCCATTGTCATTGCCACTATTGCCATTGTTGTTGCCGCTATTGCTACTGCCACTGCCACTATTGCCATTGTTTTTGCCGCTATTGCTATTGCCACGTCCACTATTACTATTGCCATTGCCACTATTGCCATTGTTGTTGCCGCTATTGCCACTGCCACTATTGCCATTGTTGTTGCCGCTATTGCTATTGCCACGTCCACTATTACTATTGTCATTGTTGTTGCCGCTATTGCCACTGCCACTATTGCCATTGTTGTTGCCGCTATTGCTATTGCCACGTCCACTATTACTATTGCCATTGTTGTTACCTCTATTGCCACTGCCACTATCAATATTGTCATTGTCGTTGTCGTAGCCCTTGCCATTGGTTGCTGCAGTAGTAATGTGAAGGTAACTAAGTCCCAAAATCATCAACAACAACAAAGTCATAGATGTCAGTACTACTTCTTTTGCCATGGTTTAACTAATTATAAGTTGGCAATTGTATAATAAAAGTGTGTGATGATGGAAAAAATAAAATGAAATTAACCACTTCTGTTGATGTTGTGTTTGCTTCAATAACATTAATTAGTTCAGTGTTTATATAGAAAAAATTTAACAATTAGTGTATGATTTGGCGTAATTGTTAATTAAGAGATTCCTTAGTTTGCCTCGAATCAAGAAATGCTAAGTTTTTATGAATTTATAGAAATTTACGTTTTATGCTGTTGGCTGAAAGTGCTAAACTCCAATTGCTTGAGGTTAAACCGGTTGGTCGTTTGGTAGAGTATATAAGAATAGTACTGAATAAGACGCGTTTTAGTATCAAAGCTAAAATTTTCACTATTACGAAAAAACATAAAGGTTCAATATTTACTATATATAAGTAAATATTATTTTAACCACTATACAGGTTAAAATCCCCGCTCCTATGCAATAGCTCGCAAACCACACATGAGAGGTAACAGGCACTAGACAAGCTCGGTGCGATGAGCTCGATCCGATCTTTTTAAATAGATGAAAAGGCTTCTTCTCTGTATCCATAAAGATAAAGGCATACACAATAACAAATTCTTTCTGTGAGCAAAAAATACAAACAGTGCAGCAAGAATTGCAGCAACCATTAGCAGATGTCAGGTTCAAAAATGAACTTTATTTTTAACAAAAATATTGAGTTTAAAATACAACTGAAATTGTTGTATGTTTCTTGTTACATAATTTTCCACAACATTGCATGATTCACAAACAAGAACACCAACATAATGAACAAATGTAGCTCAACAATATTAGACGATATTTGGTTAGTTTGCAGTACCCTTCTTTACATACAAGCTTTTTTCTTCCAAGTCATAACTCCTGTCTTCTTCCCACACAAAATCCTATTTAACCAAATATACTTTGTTATAGTTGCATCACCAACTTGCCAAGAAAATATACAGGCTTCAGTTTTACGTGATGCTCGGGCATTAACAGCTGCTCTCCTCTTTCACCTCGGCCATCTCTAGAGTTGCTTTTTGTGCAGCTCTTCTTCTGTTTTGGATCTGGCTAACACATTCCGCAACTATAACATGAAACTTGGGGACTATTTTACTTGGGTTAGAGGCATTAAGTCCTGCTTTCTTTAAAGCCCGTGCCACGTGCTTTTCAGCCTTCTGAGAATGAAGAGAGCAGTAGGAAGGAACTGCAGACCTTAATATTGGCTTCCCACAAAGTATGGGCCCTGTTGGCGAACTGCAAAATAAAGCAATGAAGCTTTGATCGATAAGTAATACTATCTTAACTCTCTAACTAGTAATAAGATATCTCCTAATGCTTTACGATTAGAATTCACAAGATCTGAACTCATGAAAAATCTCAGCATCAGTTGTTACTTCTATGAAATGAGAGAAACAAGAATGCATCCACATGCAGATAGTGATTACAGCAAAACATTGCAAGTTAGCTACCAGGAGAAGAACAAACAATTTGAATGAAAAGGCTGCTCATGGAACTGGATGCCAAAACTAAACCATGTGAAGCACAGAATATACATTACACGTAAAGACTATATACAAGAAAAGAGGACTGTCACAGCTGTTATACTCCATGAATCACAACACAAGTGCACCTTCAGCTGTGCTTCAGTGTGCAAGCAACCAAAACATTAGAGCACCACATGTTCCTAATGTACCTGTGCCCCCACCATTAACACCAGTGCCCCACTGATGGACCAACTTACCAGCCAGCAGACACCACACAATTAAGAGCCAGCTCAGCAAATAGATTATGTCGGTCACCCATAGTAACAAGACTAACACACTGAAGCACCTTGCCTCAATGCAAGCAACCCAACAACAGGCCACTCACCCACAGTGGTCTACGTATTGAAGGAGAGAGAGAACACTGTTACAGGCCTAGCTCCAGCTTTATAGTAAATACCATTGCTTGTACAATGTAAAGTTTAGTATGATTCTTCATGTTTACACCTGTCACTTGGATTTGATTTTAGAAAGCGAATCTAATAGTCTTCCAACTACAGAAGCTAGCAAGTGCAATGAGTACTTCTACACCTAATCATGACTCTAAAGCATTAGATTCCTGCTGCATATATCTATACAAAGGAATTATTTAGTTTCAAAATGGCTGTCTGGATTCTCATCCTGCATTGCACTGAAGTATGGATGGGGAAAACAGAGAAGACAGAGTCTCCAGTCAGTTATCCTGTTCCAAGTGCAATAAGAACTATTTAGAAGAGCAAGACGATGAAAGCATAATGAGAGACATACCACATAGTACATACTGACAATATTGAGGAAAATCTGAAGTTCAAAAAGTTGAATAATAGTTTAAGGAGTCGTCTGGTAAGTTCAGCAAGAGTGATGACGATCAGGTACTTCACTTTTTTTTTGTGAGAAGTATGAGATAATTGTGAGGGGTTCACTTCAACCTAAAAAGAAGTTTAAATGACAACTGAAGGCGCTGGGGTACTCAAAAGTTCACAAAGAATTGAGAACATTCAGAGACTTGATTGAAAGACCTGAGGATATACAACAAAGCACTGCTAGGAAATTATGGAGATTCAAGGCAAAGAGCAGGCTTTATGGAGGGTTGTGAATAGCTTTAAAGTATTGAGACATGAATGAGTCATGGAGGACATGAAACATCATGTAACTCTTCGGTGGAGGACTATGGAGAAACACTAATCCTCACAGTCGTACACTATGAAGAAACATCCCGGGGTGCAAAGACTCAAGTGGCAGTGCTAAGCAAACGGTATGACAGCAGAATCGGATTTTATAAGTTTTTGGGGTCACAAGTAGTTGAATAAAACACCCTGTAAACCATTTTCTACAACATATATAAAGTATTGAGCGAGAGAGATCAGATGTCTTGAGTAGATATGTAGGACACAAAATGGACGAGTACATCGGTATCTTGATGCTCAGAAGAACCTACAAGGCTGAGAGGTAGACAAATTTCAATTGAAATTCTCAACAAGCAGAAGACAACATATGCTAGCCAGCACTCATCAAGTTGGGTTTGAGGAGAGGTGGATTGTACTCAACTGCACTTCCTGCACTTATGGATCTGGATTCTTAGCATGTGTTATCTTGGCTGTTAGAAAGGTTAACAACACAGACAGCTGAGAACTTGAGAAAGAGGAGGCTCACATGTTAGGCAGTGCTTTGTGTCCAAATGCTTGGGTGAAGATGTGGACCAACTTCTGTTGCATTGTCGCGTGGCAAGCCCAATGTGGTATGTGTAATGTACACTGGTTTGGAGTACAGTGGACAATGTTGGGCAAAGTGAATATGTACTATAAAGCTCGGCCTTCAGAAGAAGGAAAAGATGTAGGTCATGAGAAGATGCTCATCTAGCTCTCGAGTGGTCTATGAAGGGAGAGAAACAGAACTTTCTAAAGAACAAAGAATAACTTCAAAGACTTTTTTATACATCGGAGAAATCTCTCGTGACTTCTATCCAACTCCACTTGACACACGGGTTCAAAACTGTGGGAGTATGAAGTCGCCTCTACACTTCCCAACTTAAATAACAGGGATTTTCTATGAGAGGGTTTGGATCTATGATGTGTCTAACCCACACTTTAAGCGTTAAGCTCTGGAGGCTAGAATGACTTGTACATTCGAAAAGTAGAATTTTATTTTAAGTTAAGCATTTGGTGCACCCACAAGGTTGCTATTAGGGCAGAAGATTCTGTGTTTTTTCCAAAGAGAATTATATTTTATGTAGCCTCTCTTTTGAGAATTACATATACTATTTGTATATGTAAGTTCTCTGTTTTTAATAAGATTTTTTTACGTTATCCTTCATGAAAGCACAAATCAGATCGGTGAACTCAAAAGTTTACCATGGTTTTTTTTTGGTTTTAATATCGTAAAATGTCATAACTTCATGACAATCTATTTTGGAAAAAGAAACAATTAAGATAAGGAAATATAGTGGTAAGTCTTTGTGAAAACCTATTCTATGCAACCACAACTTAATAATGTGAATTTTCATAGACTAGATTCCGAGCAAACAAAATAATTGTAGAGACTTCTTAAAGTTGAGAATATAGGAGTTCTAAAAGACAGTTACAGTAATACCACCGGAACAAACACTAGGATTTGCATAAACATTGACGGGTGTGGGACAGGAGTGCAGCAGGCAAGAAGCAATTGACAAAATCAGTAGAATTAACACATATAGACCACCTCAAACGGACCTGAAACATTTCAAAGTACTGGCCAGAACTCAAAAATCATGACAGGCTACATGTTTTCCAAGTAGGAAATGACCTGCGCCAAGTTCCTTCTTTTGTTAAAAGAACTAAATGTCAGCCCGGGCCAGATATTTTACCCAACTACTATAATCAAAAGAATAATGAGAAAGGGATACACAGTAGACAAAAGAAAGGAGATGCCAGACGATGGAAAACCACGCACCAAAAAGAGAAGTTAGTTTCTGTGGGGGTCGGATCGAAACTGAGGAAGAGACGCAACTAAGAAATCACCTTAAATGGGCTAGAATTAAAGTTCAAGGCGCTGAGTCGAGGACTCCGAAGGAGGTGACTGTGTTGAATGCTGGAATCTCATACTCCGTGCAGCTATGGACAGAGACGATGGCAAGGTACTCCGTTGGGGAAGAAAGAAGGAAAAACCTTTTACCCAACCGACTTCGAAGATCTACCCAGAGGTTAATACAAGGGCAGGTGGAGATGTCAGTAAGAAACCACGTGGGGAGCCAGCAAACATTCTAGATTCAGGCCCCACTATGGGTCCAACTCCATGGACAAATATAGGTTAGCCTTTGCTCAATTTAAATCCAGGCCTAAAACCTACTCAACCTCTAAAAAACCCAAGCCCAGCTGGGAATGTTAAAAAGCCCAAGAACTTCATAGTGAGAGGCACATGGAGGGGAATAAAGGTTTTTTAGAATATACGGACTTGGCATCAAAGTTTCTACAAGCTTTCAGGAACTGTGAAATAGCAGTTTAGGTGGAGGATACTATGATTATGAAAAAGGAAGGGGGAGAAAGAAACCTCTTAAACACCCAGACAAAGATTCCTGATACAAAGTCACAGAAATATTGACCACAACAAGGAAGGAGAGGAATGTTATGCCATAATAGTCAATGACACACAA